GAATTTACATGCGGCTCAGCTGCAATCGGGTCCTGTCCGGTTCAACCCAGTGCAAGGAGCTTGCAGAAGCGTGTGCAGAAAATGCGAGATCGTGTAATAAATCTGGTGATAAATATGGAAGAAAATTATAGAAAAACATATTAAAGGTAAAGGTAAGACCATCTCCAAGCAGCTTGATGTTCCTGTGACAACAGTTGCATGTTATTCAGAAATTTAAGATCCATGCGACTGTAGGCAACCTCCCTGGATGTGGTTGCATGAGGAAAATTGATGACAGTAGAGTACAGTAGAGTAGTGGTTGGAGACAGTAGTCATGCATTTTGGTCCAGTCGTGAAGGAGGAGGGTTAAGAAAAGATTATGATCGGGTTTATTGTTTTATGTTATTTATTAAAGCTTATCAGCACGACTCACCTTGCACACCAGTCGATTCCAACTCCACTACGAACTACTTCCTGCAGGCTTTTCACAATAGAAGCACGTTAAGTCTCCATCAGCATAACGTCTCCATATTAACTAACCGCGTTAAATCTAACTGTGCACGTCACTGAAGAAGTGTTTACTACATTCAGCGACAGCGAAAACGGGATGGATTTTTAAATGTCAGTCAATATAAACAGCGGAATCACCACCTGCGGCTGCAACTAGCTGCTCCAAACATTAGCATGCTAACGCACATAGCGGTGCAGCAAGGAAAAATGTCCCCCGGGAAACAACAGTTCACTGGCGGCCAAGACTAAATGTTCCGCTATTTAAACCGGAATGTCCGGTATTCAAAAAATTCATATCATAACAAAAAATAAAAACTATTATTCGGTACAAAACGGTATACCACCCAGCACTACTTCAGGGTGCACTGGGGTGGTTAGAGGAGTGTGAAGCAGCTGGAATGAGGATCAGTTCATCTACCTCTGAGATTATGGTTCTAAATTGAAAAAAGACAGAATGTTTCTTTTCTTTGCCTCAAATAGATAAGTCCATGTGTCACAGAGTCTAGTATACATCTGCAGTGATGAGCTACTGCTTCTCATCGAAAAGAGTCCACTGAGGTGGTTTGGGCATCTGTGAAGGATGCCTCCTGGGTGTCATCTCTGAAGGTTTTTCTGGGCACATCCCACTGGTAGGGGACCCCATTGCAGACTCAGGACTCAGGGGAGGACTCCTCCAATGAGTCTCCTCCCCAGGAGGAGTTGGAGACTGTCACTAAGTGAAAGGGAGGACTGGGTTTCCCTCCTTCACCTGTTGCCCTCATGACCTGACCATGGATAAACAAAATGAAATGGATGGATGGATGGGTGGATGGATGTTGGATGGATGGATGGATGTTGGATGGATGATGGATGGATGGATGGATGTTGGATGGATGGATGGATGTTGGATGGATGTTGGATGGATGGATTGATGGAT